TGGTCACTTAGTTTTAATCCCCAAGTGATTTTCGTTAACTTCCCTCAACCCCTTCCTTCCTATACGTTGATGTAATGCAGTGTCCTTTACCTGATCATTATATAAAACTGAACTATGATCCTTGCTGTTATGCCATTCATTCTACGAAACTTCAAACTGTTGTATGTTGTCCTCGTTATTATCCTCATGCAGCGACAAGATGAAGTTGAGTAGTAGTCACGAAATGTATTGACGTCAATAAATCCTGCCGTTTACACCTTTTTTGAATTTGTACCGGGGAAAAAGCTTCAAATATAGAGTATGCTCAAAATTCTTCATAAGAAAAGCACTTTGGAACTCTACAGGAACCTTAAGATCTTTTTTGATTCACCCACTGGAAATGTGAACCTGTCAGATCCTGAGAATTACGGTTATGTATTATTGCGCCATTTTTGTTAAAGAAAAACTGGTAAGCAAACACAATGATTGCATCGTGCGTATTTTATATCCATTTTTAGACATTCAATTTCCACAATGGCTCCTCATAAACAAAATAATTGAAAACCGTTGTCCTGTGAAACCTGATTGAGCGTATAAGGTCAGGTCATTTTTGGGAGGGTTTGTTGAGACACAGGTCGACTGCACAGACTAAAACGTAAACTCGAACGACCAACGTCATGCAAATTGTAGTACGCAAGAAGAGAGAGCACTTGCATATTAAACATCAAAGTATAAGCCTCATCAAGGTACAAGCCTCAAGGAACAGCCTCATGTAGGGTCATGCTGATGGGATGCATGACCTGTGTATAGTCTGCTTAACGTATTTGGCTGTCGTTTTAGTATGGAATATTTCCAACGTGGCCCCCTGTAGGCGTTAGGGTGAAGCTGCCAAGTGTAGAAAAACCTTGTATTTCTACTTTCACTTGGTAAACATTTAGTTGACACCATTTACATTTAGAGTGAGTAACTGTGTTTTCGATTATGAAGGAGTATTAGAGTAGTGTGGCTATATTACTTACCATACAGCATACTCCAAAGATATTTCACACATGTCAAGATTCAGACTTTTGAGTGTGCCTCCCCTCTGCAGTAAAAACCACACTTAGTAAAAATGACCACATACGCAAAAGGTATGTTTTCCAGTGATTTTCAGGGGTCTTGTATGTTAAAATATATTCTGCAGAAAAAGTGTGCAAAACTATTCCTTTTTGCACCCGTTTAGCAGAAAATCACATGTAAGTTAAATTTTTTATTCAAAGGCATCGCATATTTACGTTTTTAAAAGCGCTGCCTTCGTATTTACTTTAAGCGTTGGCCGTCAATGAGCTGTATGCCTGTAGTGTAAGGAAATCATAATCTCTTGTAAGCAGTTAGGATGATACTACCTAGTGTTCATAAAAACCGCAATGGATTCGTAATACGTGGTTTACTTCATAAGAGAAATTAAATACGTCCCGATAAGATTTTATAAGAATGTACATAACACGGTCATAAAAAGTGTCCTTTTAAGGAACTTTTGGCAGAAGTATGGTCGGTAGTGGTCTTGTGTACAAGAAGCCCCAGGTTTCTGTCTGACGGGAACCGTGAGAATGGGAGAATTATGGATGGGGAAAACGGATAGACGAGAAAAGGACTTTGTAAAAAAAGTACAAATATTCGTAAAATTCTGTTAAAATAGTTTAATGCCGCAGCTATATAGCGACGGCGTTGGGTGCATAAATAGAAAAAAGGGACAAAAAACAACTCTACCTCGAATCGAGCTCGAATCAACATTGAAAAACCTGGAAATGTGGAGTTTTATTCCGAACGCTCTCCTTTTCCAAAAACTCAGTAATAAAAGACATTTTGAAGACTTTTTGTAATATTAAGCGCTTATTATAAATAAACTAAAAAGCTGGTAAAAATAATACTGTACAGATGTATAAAATAGTCATATGTAATGTTTGATGTTAGAATTCTAAATTTCCTGTGACTGGCTGCTGTAAACAATTGACTGTGCTGTGGCCGTTCTACTTTAGGGCTAAATTGAAGCAACCTGCATAGCACTTCTAGCTCTCTGAGCTAATATATGTGTATGTATCGTTGGGGGGTGTTTGCTGACCCTGGGCGAGGTCACTGACGTACATTTTCTTAATAGCATCACTAATCCCTATTGGACCAACTGCGGGCACGTGTAAGTTGGGGGCTGTTCGCTGACCCTGGGCGAGGTCACGGAAGCTTTTTTTCTATTTTTAGGAATTTCACTACTCCAGATAATGTATGTCACTGTCTATTTTCTTGCTTAAAGGTGTCTCCCCTCTGTTAACCCGCAACTGCATGAAAATCATTTTCTTGCGATCATCAGCGGTGTATCTTAGACAAAAAAGCTAATCGCGATTATGTAAAGGTAGCGAATGGCAACTGAGGTGGTCTTACGTAAAGTCAAAAGTTATGGCTTTTCAATGGAAGCGACCGTATGGTTAGGACAATAGGAAAGGAAATCCAAGAGAAAACCTGCAACTGCGCGATTGCATGGTGCAGGCGAGGATTTTGTAGCAGCCCTGCCAAGCCATTCAGGTTCCAAATCAATAGGACTACTGCACTAAGTCAAGTCGAAAATCACTGAGAAAATAAAAATTACGCCGACTGAAATTCATTGAGTAGGCATATAATTAACAAGTAAAATTCGAGCGCTACCAATGAAACTTCCGCCGAAACTTTGAAACCCAAAGGTAAACATCGTTCAGTAATGCAATTTAAAGAAGGCGCGATTTGCTACCTAACCAGCACAGGAAATAAATTATTTGTCTACTCCTTCTATAAAATATGTTTGAAGTTCTAAGAGCCCTGTGAATCACTGAAAAATGCCTACCGTTAACATGCTAATCTTTTACCGATATTTTTTTTGCAGGTGGCTGCAAAGATACGCAGTAAAAAGCTGTTATCCTTAGGCCCGAAATAGCTTGGTAGGATGCCATACGCTAGTGAATATTACAACCCGACTTATGCGATTCGTCCTAGTCGAGCACTTATTGCGGATTTGTGGTTTACATTCCATGAGACCTGTCACTGATTGTAAAATATTCCTAGGGTACGCTATTGCTGTTCACTTCCTCAAGCAATGTTAGACGCACGAACGTT